GGTCGAGTTTGTTTATTTTCTCAAAAAAAGGCGATGATTTTAGTCTTGCAAAATGTATAGTTCGAATTTCGACAAGTTTTACCTCATTATTGCTTCCTGAGAGCACATCAACCGTCGCTACTGCATCCATAAAGAAACAATGATCACTTCCACACACAACTTCCAGGCCCGTAACCAGTATATTATGAGGGGGGGTGCTAACGAGGCCAAAGTGGACCAAACTACCGAAATGTATTTTTTATTGTCTGATCCGTTTATTTAGGGAAGTAGCAATACATGAGAAATTGTAACGGCAAAGTACATGGTAGGAACTGAATAGTACATTTGTCGAATACAACTGTTTGAATTAAGTTATAGAGGAGTAATTTTACGATGTAAAATGATACGTCAAAATACTGCGGAACTAATCCCTCAGAATAGTCCCGAGCTCCAGACTCCGTGGGTGTTTGGTGGCAAACAGATTTACCACCTCATCCAAAACAATCTTAGCTTGATAATGTATGTGCATTAGTGCGAAGGACGACAGCCTTTCATGGCCCATGCATGCCCTGTTATATGTATGCAGCCGCCTTAAAGAACTCGCACTTCTTTCACATTCACAGCTCATTGCAGGGATTGTGGTGCATATCTTGAGGAGCGCATATATAGTTGGAAAGAGATCATCATCGCACTCCTTAAGCGTGCGCATGTCTATTTCATTATTCATTTAGATAAGCTCGGACATCTGTGCACTCATTGAAATGTTCTGAATGACTCGGGCTACTAGAGTGCAGCTGGTTTTATTTTCCCAGTGAATACACTACTGCTTTTTCCATTCTTTGATTTTGTTTAAATATCACTGTTAAGTTTGAAACTTCAGTTTAACCGACTGCACTCCTTAACTTGGATATTGAGTATCAAAATGCGGACCTTTGGGGCCTGTGGGGAGGGTGCGAACGCACCCCGTGCACCCCCCCCCCCCCCTGGTTACGGGCCTGACTTCCCCGTCTTTGAGGTGCAAAGTTCCTCACTTTCTGTTGTCTAGGTCGTCTAACAAACTCGACCGCGATTTCTTACATTGACAGGTTTTTTACTTGTTTGCTCCCTGAGAAACCACGTGACATTACCTTTATCCTATCAGTCCTTTAAGGTATCATCCAGGGTAAAAAATAATCATTTTTCTAAATTGACAATTTATAGACGATTAAATAGAGCTCATCAAGAGCTTTCTTTTAAAAAAAATTCCAGGAAAAAATATTTTTTCTGTGCAGGCTTATGGAGTGCAAAAGTTTTTCCTATGCTAATTATTTTAATTGATCGTTGACAAGTCCTGTCATACTTGATACGCGTTCCGCTGTTGAACCAAGCTACCCTAATCACGCAATTTGACAGAAATCGTGGTTTACAAGTATAGCGCTCACTGTTTTTCCCTGGAGTTTGAAAGTGAACGCCTACAAAGAAGAAAAAAGAGCTTGTCCGTTTTCGTCCTCGACTCCAAGACGAAAGAAGACGACAAAATCGTTTTGCCTCCAAAGAGTGGGCTTCGAAATTAGCAGAGAGCGACAAGGGCACCCACTACAATAAAGAAAAATGGCCAAAAGATGACAAAACTCCTGAAGAAACGGTCCGTGCACACTTCGGCCAAACTATTTTTTCATTTTTCCAACAAAAACGGAAAATGGAAATATTATTTATCCTTGTCATATTTACATATTTTAAAGTACAGCCAAAAAGAGAAAAAAAGAAAATGGTCAGGAAAATTGATCATTTTTTCATTTTTCTAATTTTGAAGTCCGCTTCAAAAAGACAAAAAATACTGTAAACGGCTAAAAGCGATATTTTGCTATTTTTTATTTTCTTGCTGTTGTTAGAAAATGAGAAAAATGAAATAATGTCCAATTCCTAACTCATTTTTCTATTTTTCCATTTTTCGCCAAAAATAGAAAAACGGAAAAATGAAAAAAATCATATTTATTCGCACCATTTTTTCATTTTTTCCATTTTGTTCAAAAAATGAAAAAATAGGAAAAAAGCATACTTATCGCCCAATTTTCCATAATTCCATTTTAATAAGAAAAATGAAAAAAATGACAAGTGTTGCGAGCAATTTTCTATTTTCCCATTTTTTAATCAATAGTAAACGTTTAAAACGATACACCCTTTTAGACAGTTTTTCATTTTTTATTTTATTGAAAAATGGCTCAGAAAAGTGAGAAGTTATGGATATTTTAACGGTGAAGAGAAGAAAAACCTAATTCGTATCCACTACCGACGCACTGATTTGGTTAGAAGATTTACCCAGGGTCGGCGGAGATGGGGGGGAATTGGGGGTGGGGGGGGGGGGCTTAGTTTTCGAGAAGCGGACGTAGTTCCATTCACTTTTGATCTCGATTTCCCTGAAGGTTTGAGTTGTCGGGAGTCGACTGTGGATGAAAGCGGCAGGAAAACCGTAACGTACCGGCCGTGGAAATGAAGAACATTAGAAAGGGTACGAGGGAGGAGGAGAAGGCGTGAAAATTGGTACGGGAAAAGGGGCTGGTAACTCAACCGTTTTCATGCCAGCAACAGTATGGTCCCTGAGCACAAAAAAAGCGGTTCGTGAGAGAGATTAAGGGAAAGGAGTTAAGAAGAAGGTCACATGCGCAAAATAAATAAAGAGCACGCCAGTGAAGAGGGTCAGACGCTTTTAAATGAAATAGATGCTCAAATTAAAAGTAGACTGCTTAGCCTTCCGAAATAACGGATCTTGCCGCAGAACGAGTGTTTTAGGATTGTAAGAGTAAAGTATATTGAATTAATATTATGGAGGAGAAACATAACGAGGTGGCTAGTATACACTCGCGGGAGAGAACATCTTAATGATCTGGCCCCATACATTTGCTCATACATTATTGATTAAACGTTGGATAGCGACTACCCACCGGATAAATCACTATCCAGCGGCCTGATAATTTTTTATGTATTTTATGGAAACCAATTGCGTTATCTACTGGATGGTTATTTATCCATCGGATAGCGTTATCCACCTTTTAAGCAACTCAGCCCTGGAAAGACGAGAGCAAAGATCGCTAATGTCGGGAAACCCATGCGACAAGTATGGGGAAACGTTCTACAGTTTGAATGGAACAGGAACACTTTATGGTGACGCAGTGTTAGAACGGGTCACAGCGAGAGTCCTAAGTAATGAGGTAAAGGAATCAGCTAATCAAATCCAAACGTGAATGAAACTACTTTCGCATTCCGAGAACTAAAGCACCCCCACCCACCCTTCCCATCCCACGTCTCCGCCGACCCTGTGTAAATCGTTTTATCAAAACTAGTGAGTCTAAAGTGGATTAGGTTTTTCTTTTCTTTGTTGGTAAATGTTCATGATTTGTCATTTTTCTTTGCTATTTTTCATTAAAACAAAAGACGAAAAATTATCCGTTTTTGTTTGTTTGTTTGTTTTGTATTTATTGAAAAAATGGAAAAATTATTCGCAACACTTGTCATTTTTTTCATTTTTCTTGTTAAAATGGAATTATGGAAAATTAGGCGATAGGTATGCCATTTTTCTATTTTTTCATTTTTTGAACAAAATGGAAAAAATGAAAAAATAGTTCGAATAAATATCATTTTTTCATTTTTCTGCTTTCTATTTTTTGGGAAAAACGGAAAAATAGAAAAATGATGTAGGACTCAGAGATTATTTTATTTTTCTCACTTTTCTAACAATATCAAGAAAATGAAAATAGCAAAATATATCGCTTTTAGCCGTTAACAGTATTTTTTGTATTTTTAAATTTAACTTCAATATTAGAAAATGAAAAAATGATCGATTTTCCTGACCATTTTCTTTTTTCCTCTTTTTTTTCTGTACTTTGAAATATGCAAATATGATAAGGATAAGTAAGTGTGGCCGAAGTGTGCACGGACCCAATCTGCCTAGCCTACTAAATAGGCGTTTACAATTAAGATCTTGCTACCTTAATGTATAAAGTTAAACATGGTTTGGTATCTAGTAATGTCGTTAACATTTTTAGTGTTAAGTCATCCAAATATCAGTTAAGAAATATGGATTTTCATTTACTCAGGCCAGATTTAATAGTGTACGTTACGAGCGACATTTTTTAGGGTACTTTGGACCATATATATGGTATGGTCTAGATTGGACAGCAAAATCAAGGACAAACCTACCTTACAATCCTTTAAGTCTAGCATACGGCGTATTAACCTTGTGGATCTTATAAGTGGCAATTGTGGCTCTTGTCTCATTTGTACTTCTTGAGAATTTTTAGAAATATTTTTAGCATTTTTCTGTATGTTTTAGTGGGGGTAACTCCGAAATCTTTTAACTTTTAACTTTTTATAAATTTTAGATTTTAGAAAATTCTAAATTTACCCAATGATACCATGTATAAACTCATTTTATATGTATATTTTTTCTATTATTTTAGTGTCCCCAATTAGCTTTTATAAGCTAAAGTCATCTACACTTGAATAAAGTTGTTATGTTATGTTATATGTTATGTTACCTCCTCGTAGTAGTTCTTCAAAACTTTGGCCCTTTTCTCTGCCTGGTTTCAGAATATAAACACGTTTACTTCTAAAAAAAAAGTAGATAAAATCCATCGAGCAATATGTTTTGCGTATTTTTTTATTTTTTCCATTCATTCCAGAAGTACAACCATTTTATTTTGTCTTCAAATAGCCGTAAACGCCAGTTTTTTAGCTCAATTTTACCCAAGCAGCCTCGTTTCCAACCAAATTTACCACCGAATCGATGGTATATTGCTCGCATCTTCCAAATATGGTATGCGCCTGTTGCTAATAAAGAATTAGCCGGGAGATTGGAGCCAATCAGAAACGGCGAAATATTTGGAATGAATAATAATACTAATTGTCGAGCGCTACGAAACAAGTTTGTTGTTTCTCCATCAAACGTATCCTTGTCTCTGTTCAGCCATTGTTCACAAAAGCGCAGTCAAGACACGAATTAGTAACACACTCGCCTGTGGCTTGTGTGCCACCTTTTTTGTTCTTACCACATTTTTATGTCATCTGTGACCCAGAAAAGTACACTATGAATAAAAGAATACTAGTACTTGCAGATAAGTAGATGATATTGGATTCAGTTGGCTAGCTATCAGCTAAGATTTTCTCAGTAAGACACGATAGTGGCCAGCGCTCAGATTACCCCAATTATAAGTAGGGATGCTGTTTTAAAGTCTTTGGATGTGATAAAAACGTAGAAAGGAAGAATCGTGTAATGAATGTATCTGACAAAAAACAAGTTGACGCAACCCTCTATTTCTCTTCTCAGGGCGCAGTAACTCATCGGAAAGGGAAAATTTACACTTCATGGAGAAAAGTCCAGAGGGAGATGATATCACATCTACTGATGCAGGAACACTCCTGTTTGATGCAGACACTTTAGGAGGTAAAGAGAAAAAGAAAAATGCTTTTTTCATTCCATAGTATGGTTTCAACAGTTGAAAACTTGCATTCTGTTAAAGGGAAGACCTTACCCATTCACAAGTACATTTTTTTCATGTGTAGTCCCTGATACAAAACCCCGGCTTGGAATAGGCCAAACAAGAACAAATGATGATCACACTGGTTTTCCCAAAAACGCCTTGTAAAATCACTGAAAAAATTTTAATTTGCTGCATTAGCAATTGCAGAGGTTTACAAGGATGAGGGTAACAAGGAGTACAACAAGAAGAATTACAGCAGCGCCATTAGCTACTACACAGACGGAATTAAAGTGAACTGCAAGGATAAAGAACTGACTGCCAAACTGTACAGTAACAGGGCGGCAGCACATTTTAATTTGAGTAAGAAGTTGCCATTGTAGTTAGTTATCGTGATGTTATATTTACCTTTAACTCACTAAAGATCTTTTTAAGTAGTGGTTGCGTCAGTCGTTGCTACTCACGCTTTGTGGAATGCTGCTTAAAAAAAGTTGACAGACTACACAACAACTGCTTCTCCTAATATCTACTTGCAGTAGCTGTTCATTCACTATTTTTCACATAGACCAGAATGCACATTGTTTACCTCCAAAACCTTGAATGTCCATTGTTTCCAATTTCTCGTGGGTATTACAGTCGTCCCAAGAAAAAGCGAAGAGAATAGTTATGCAAGATCTTCTTTTCTATTTTTTTTTTTTTTTTTTGGGGGGGGGGGTAAACAAGGTGCATTATAGTGTATATGGAAATGGTGAATAGGCCATTTTACAGTGGTGGATGGAAGCGAGGCTGAGGATGACCTTGTTTTGATACAAACCTTCCTGCTTTATTATGTCAATCAAGTTATTCTTATGCTAACTAGTATTTTTCGAGAACAATTCCCATAACAAAGCAGAGAGGGTTTGTATCAAAACAAGGTCACCCTCCGCCTCGCTTCCATCCACAACTGTAAAATGGCCTATTAGTGGGATCTCAGGCTAAATGCGTGCAATTCCACAATATTGGTTTCGGCTTTATGAAATTTTTTTACCAATAGCAGAAGATTTTGGGAGCAGCCACTGCAGACACAACGCGAGAACAAATACTGACAGGTCACGATACTAAGGAACGCAATGTCTATTAAGTACTACTAAGTCAAATTAGTCCCTAGGGCTTTTCCCTGAAAAAATGGGTGGGGCGTCCCACCTATTTTTTAGGGGAAAAGCCCTGCGGACGAGGCTGCTTCTAAGTGACATTAAGTTCAAAAGATACAGTACAACAATTAAGAATTATATGAAAGTGTGAACTTAAACTGTTTTTTTGGGTGTGTAATTCATTTTTCCTCAGAGAATTACACTGAAGCACTAAATGATGCCAAAACTGCCATAGACTTACAACCATCGTTTGTAAAGGCTTTTGTGCGAGGTATGTCGACTATGGGCCAATCGATCCTGACTGCGATTACTGATTTGCTTGTGTATAACCAGCAAAACTCACCAACATCTTTCCTAAAATAAACGTTTATGATTCAAAATAACGCAAGACAAACTGCGCTCAGCTTAGGGGCTGTCAACAGCCGTTTTCACTCTAGAGACGGATAAACAGACAATTTAAGTCAGACAGATTATTCGTCAAAATTAAAGCCGTTCCGTTTTCACATTAAGACAGATTGTTTGTCTGAAGCGAATTACTCAACGGATAACCCTTCTGGGACGGATGTGAAAATGGCCATTGATTTTTTCAGTTACCATGACAACAAACGTGTTTTCTCTCAGTAATGTTGGACTTTTCAGATTTATTTGCCACGAAATTCTTATAGAAGGTCTCTTACTCTGGAGTGGGTTACGTTAATTAGACAATTGTTTTTTTGTGTGTGTTTTCGCGCACCAATCTCATTCTTCCCAGGTTTACTTATTGCCTAATTTCAAACCGAGAGTGGTTGTGTACGAGTCCGTTTATAACGCGATAAACAACACAAAATCCACATAGTCAGAAAGAGCACATTGAGGTTAGCAACATTTCAAAATTTAGTAAAAAATATATAGGCATCCAGCAATCCATATATCTCTTATAAATTTTTAAGTTTATCTTGTTCAATATTCCCACGACTGAACCAAACGTTATCTGAATAGCATTTACAGCCTAAATGTGTTTTAGCCTGAGCTTTTTTTTTAACAGGGGCAAGTGCCTGCGTTCAGTTGAAACTATTCAGCGAAGCCATCACGTGGTGTGAAAAAGGATTAGAAGTATCTTTTACTGAAGTTTACAGAGAAAGTCCATTTAGAGATCATTTCTCCACAAACCTTCATTTTTCTTCTATTCACTGTTGAATAATATTTCTAGTGCAGACTCACATGCATTGAAGACTAAATACATCAATAGGTGCCTTACACAAAGCAGACCTCTAAGCCTTTCAAATCTATCCTTCTCACTAAAAAAAGTGAGATGTAAACGTGCAGTGAAGTGGACCAGTCTTATTGAATATTTGGTCGTTAATACACATCACGTAGTTTGCAATACACTCACGGGTTTATATCTCCAAGGAAACTAAGCGAGACTCTAGATAATTTATTTGAAGGTCAGAAACTTGGCAGGTTGTTTTTAAATTTCTTGACAATTGAACTTGTAAAAGATCGACCAGAATAACCAGAAGCTGATGGTTTTACTGGATAGATCTGTGAGAGAACAAAAGAAGCTGAACTTAGATAATCACGGAAAACAGGTGAGAGTGATGGGGAAAGGGCTTGGAGTGCGTTATTTCAGCGTTTTTGAATATACTTCGTCGGAGTTGTTAACTTCGAGGTCTCATCTTACTGTACAGTATCGATATAGTAGGCTAGAGAAGCATATACCCTCCTTTAGCAAATAATATTAATTGAGGTGCTGATCCACCTCTGATCGATCTGTTTGCGTAGCTTGGCCCCACACGGGTGGGTGTATACAAATCCCTGGCTAGCCCACGTTATGGCCTACCCTATGGACCACCCTAAATTTTGTAATTTTGCTGAAATAACAAAACAACAAGCCTGAGCAAAGCAAAAGAGATAAGCAGGGAGGAGAAAATAGCTCGCGCGTATATAAAGGAAAGTACTTATAGTTGAAATATGCAGACAGTATGTACCGAAACGACTGCTTAGGTCACAGGGAGTGGAGGAGTTATTTGTGACCTTGCCTGTTGTTAAATTTTTTAGCTAATAGCTCTATTCGCCTGTTTCTACTGTTAAGAATCGAGTCCTGAGGTTGGAATCGATAACAATGAACAGTCCACTGCATGTGTTAGATTATGATAAGACCAATTACAACACCTACAGAAAATAAACAATTATTTGAATTGTCCTAAATGATTTTCAGTTTCTCCAAACTTCTGTCCTATTTGTTCTTTAAATGAAAAATTTCGAAATTAAAGATTTTCTCGATACTATACTTTTTGGAACGCTTCACCCCTCTTTACCGAATAATATATTTTCAGATGATGAAAATGTAATGTAACATATGTCATAAATAATGTGCGTTATTTATTTCACAGAAAAATGGCACGAAGGCGACATACACAGTGAGCGACCTTGGCACTTTTGGTAAAATTGACAACTTTGAGAACAGGTCAGGAGAAGGAAAGGCTTATGGCAATGATCTTTACAACGCTTCTCACAGTTTGAGAGATTTTGAAAAAGCCATAGACAACTATGAACGTCTCCTAAAAATTGCGAAGCAGTTGGGTAACAGAACGGAAGAAGAAGCGGTGTACTGCAATCTGGGCATCATCCATCACAAAAAAGGAGATTTTAAAACAGCCGTAGACTACCATGAACGACATCTAAAAATTGCGAAAGAATTGGGTGACACATCGGGTGAAGGAAAGGCGTATGGCAATCTTGGCAATGTCTATCACGATATGGGAGATTTTAAAACAGCCGTAGACTACCATGAACGTAATCTAAAAATTACAAAAGAATTGTGCGACAGATCGGGAGAAGGAAAGGCCTATGGAAATCTCGGAAACGCGTATCACAAGCTGGGAAGTTTTAAAACAGCTATGGACTACCATGAACGTCGTCTAGAAGTTGCGGAAGAATTGGATGACACTTCAGGAAGAGGAGTAGCGTATTGCAATCTTGGCAACGCCCATCACAGTATGGGGGATTTTGAAAGAGCTATAGACTACCATAAACAAAGTCTAAAAATTGCTGAAAACTTGGGAGACAGATCGGGTGAAGCAAAAGCGTATAGCAATCTTGGATGCGCCTTTGACAGTTTGGGAGATTTTAGAAAAGCCATAGACTATCATGAACGTGATCTTAAAATTGCAAAAGAACTGGGGGACAGATTGGGAGAAGGAGAGGCGTATAACAATCTTGGCATCGCCTATCGCAATCTAGGAGATTTTGAAAAATCCATTGACTTCTTTAAACTTTATCTCAAACTTTCCACACAATTGGGTGACAGATCGGGAGAAGGAAGGGCGTATTGCAACTTGGCCGTTGCTCATAACAGTATGGAAAATTTTAAAATAGCCATACACTGCTATAAACGTCATTCAGAAATCGCGAAAGAATTGGGTGTCAGGTGGAGAGAGGGAGCGGCGTATCGCAATCTTGGTGACGCCTATCACAGACTAGGAGAATTCAAAACAGCCATAGACTACTATGAACGATGTCTGGAAATTGCGAAAGAACTGGGTGACAGGTCGAATGAAGGAGCGGCGTATGGTGATCTTGGCAACGTCCATTACAGACTGGGAGATTTTAAAACAGCCTTAGACTACCATGAACGGCATCTCAAAATTGCGAGAGAACTGGGTGACAGATCGAGAGAAGGAGTGGCGTATGGCGCTCTTGGCAACGTTCTTGTTAGTCTGGGAGATTTCAAAACAGCCAAAGACTACCATGAACAACAACTAAAAATTGCGAAAGAATTGGGTGACACGTCGGGAGAAGGAGTGGCGTATGGCGCTCTTGGCAACGCTGTTGTCAGTCTGGGAGATTTTAAAACAGCCAAAGACTACTATGAACAACAACTAAAAATTGCGAAAGAATTGAGTGACACATTGGAGGAAGGAGTGGCGTATGGAAATCTTGGCAACACCCATTACCATATGGGAGATTTTAAAACAGCCATAGACTACTATAAACGACAACTAAAAATTGCCAAAGAATTGGGTGACACATCGGGAGAAGGGAAGGCGTATGGCAATCTTGGCAACGTTTATCGCAGTCTGGGAGAATTTAAAGCAGCCATAGACTGCTATGAAGGTGATCTTAAAATTGCGAAAGAACTGGGTGACAAATCGGAAGAAGGAAATGCGTATGGAAGTCTTGGAAACGTCTATTACAACCTGGAAGATTTTAAAACAGCCTTAGACTACCATGAACGTGCTCTAAAAATTGCGGAAGAATTGGATGAAACGTCGGGAAAAGGAGCGGCATATTGCAATCTTGGTAACGTCCATTACAGACTGGGAGACTTGAAAACAGCCCTAGACTACCATAAACGTCATTTGAAAATTGCGAAAGAACTGGGTGACAGATCGGAAGAAGGAAACGCGCATGGAAATCTTGGATGCACCTTTGAAAGTCTGGGAGATTTTGAAACAGCCATAAATCATTATGAACGTCACCTAGACATTGCGAAAGAATTGAGTGACACATTAGGAGAGGCGAAAGCGTGTTGGAATTCTGGTACATTTTATGAATATCTAGGTCAAGTTCCAATGGCTAAGGGATACTATCAGAGCAGTATTACTTTGTTAAATAATATCAGAGATCGTCTTCAATTTGACGACAAGTTGAAAATAGGCTTTCGTGATCGATATCAGGGAATATACGCTGCACTTTGGCGCTTGATGTTAAGAGAAGGCAAGTTTACTGAGGCTTTGATTTCTGCGGAGAAGGTTCGGGCACAGGGTCTAAGAGATCTTATGGTCTTTAATTATGGATTTGAAGTGAATGATATTGAATCCAGTGAAGATCAGAGATCCTTTCCTCCGAATACCATATTTATGGCAATTGTAGAAAACGAATTAGTCTTTTGGGTTTGTCAGAACTGGAAGGAGGTTAAATTAAGAAGAAAGGAAGTCAGTTCCCAGTATGACACTAGCACTTATTTACAGTCTCTTGTCGATGATATGGTGAAAGTGCCTTGAATACACTATACGACATCATCATTGATCCTATTAAGGATCTTTTTTCGGGAAATGAACTCATATTCGTGCCTGAAGGCCCACTTTGCTTGGCTCCCTTTGCCGCATTCAAGGGTCCAAACTCCGAACACCTCTGTGCATCATTCAGAATTCGCTTGATTCCATCTCTCACCAGCTTGAAAATGATTGGGGATTGTCCGGTAGATTATCACTGTAAGTCTGGCGTGCTTCTTGTTGGTGACCCATGGGTGCAAGAAGTGACAGAGCGAGAGCAGTTGCCATATGCCAAAGAGGAAGTAGAGATGATTGGTGAAATGCTTGGTTGTACACCTCTTGTTGGAAGACAAGCCACAAAGGATGCGGTATTAAGACGAATCGGTTCGGTTGCTTTGGTTCACATCGCTGCACATGGCAGCATGGAAACGGGCGAAATTGCCTTAGCGCCAGATGATGCTAAGATGGATTTCATTTTGACAATGAGAGATGTACTGCGTGTTAAAATGCGTGCGAGACTGGTTGTACTCAGCTGTTGTCATAGTGCTCAAGGAGAGATAAAAGCAGAAGGCGTGGTTGGCATAGCACGGGCATTTTTGGGCGCTGGTGCTCGTTCTGTTCTGGTGTCGTTGTGGGCGATTGATGACAATGCCACTCTTGAGTTTATGAAAAATTTCTATCAATTTCTTGTGACAGGAAAGAGTGCCAGTGAAGCCTTAAACCAAGCAATGAACTGCATGAGAGAATCTGAGGAATTTGGTGTAGTCAAGTACTGGGCACCGTTTGTGCTTATCGGTGATGACGTCACACTAGAATTGTAAGGATACGAATAAATTTCCTTGAAGGTAAAGGTTATTTTGCTTTTGAAAACACTCTTATACTACATGGATATCGTTTTGTACAGTATTTTTCGACCCACTATAAACGCTTTTAATAAGTCTGGGCGCCATCTTGAATGACGTCATTCGCGGAAAGATCATACACGTGGCCAAAATGGCTTCCAAGGATGAAAGCCCTGTTGACGTTGATTTTGCAGTGTGTTCATATAAAGAGGAACGTTTTTACTTTATATCAAGAGGAATATTTTCTTTATACAATGTCTTTATGGGTATGTTATCGTAACTTTAAAGCCTTCGTGCAAAGATGTTGCTGGATCGATGAATCGGGGGCAAACGAGAGCTGATATAAATGCATAAAAAAAAAGGCGAATTAAAGTTTTGGCTTAATGGTCGTGGCTTACGTCAACAGGCAAGAGCTTAATTTCTTCCCAGGTAATCTTTTTTAGCAATGGTTTTGATACTTTTTCATTTTTTATGCGGGCCTTTATTAAAAAAGCTAAAAACGATTAATTATTACCGCTCGTCGGAGACTTAGATTATCTATCAGGCATTAATAAAAGCCAATTGAAAGGATTTTTCATGTTGCTATTCTGATCCTTCTAAAATGTACGATAATTCTATCTCGATAGAAAGTTTATGTTTTTCCAGTCATCATCAGTTTTTTTATGTTATTATGTATAGGTTTTAGAATGAGAAAGAAGTTGGATAAAAACGTTTATACTCCAGTCGATCCTTGCACAGAATAATTTTTCACTTTGGAAAGGCGTAGCTCAGTAATCCAGAAAGCTATTAGCTCGACTCCTGGTTAGAGATGTAGCCACTAAAGAGAGCTGGAGCAGAGATGCATCAATTCTTCCAAAGCACTTTACCTACATTTACACTTTTGAACAAGCAAAGAAAAAATCAAAAAACACCCTCGAAAAGGGATACAAATTTTTATTTGAAAATGACTGTCACGACCATTATTGTAGGCTTATATGGATAATAAATTCATGTAGAAGGGAATGCTTTAAACCACGGAGGAAGAATGAAAGGCCTCACAATGTTAACAGTTGTGATAAATACTCTTGTGCAGCAGGAGGAAATGGTTACTGTAATCACATGTTTTTATTATATAAGTGTTTGAATTCACGGCTGCATTCCCAAGAACTGGAATGTGCACAACTCAAAACAGTAGCACAAACCAAGGACCTAGGGTACGAACCCTAATTCATATAATGCATACAGAGCATATAATGTCGTCAATCCTTATTACAGGGAGAAATGCTCAGGAAGAAATGAGGGTTTAAGGTGTCCCTTGTATGCAGCCAGACAACATGCTGTCCAACATAAAGAGAGGGCAAATTAGTTCTTTCATTTAAGACAATTAACTGTCCCGCAATAGTTTCAACTAAATTAATTGGACACACGGGTAGTGAGTTAAACATCTCTCTCTAATGGAGGCAAACTTTAGTGTTATGACAACTATTCCAATTTGCCAAGACCTAGAGCTGTTGATGGCTCCTTTCCTGAATTCCCAATTGACACTTCTGACACACCTTTTATGACACACCCGATTATATGTTTCTGCCCCTAACAAAAAAGCCGAATATTTGAGAGACGAATATAGGGGTACGAATTAGAACCCACACACAAAAAGACTAAGTTACACACTTTTACGGTCGAGTACTCCTCTCTCTTAATTCGCTGCAGCCATGCTAGCTTTTAATACATGCTGATCGCTTGGAATCTTATGTCACATTTCTTACTGTCGCGTTTGTTATCGAACATAATATCCCCGTATGCCTTGCAAAGACGAACCGCACAACTGCGATTACTTTATCCTGGGAAAAGGATTCGCTGGTATTCGTTAATATTTATACAGGAAAAGTATGGAATAAAGCGATTCATAATGGCCTGACTTTGCCTCTCGTCCTGACATGGTATTGTCACGCTAGTCAAAAGTCAAAGATAGCGGCTGAAGTCTTTCCGCGAATGGCGTCATAAATTAAAAATTCAAGATGGAGCCCAGACTTATTAAAAGCGTGTATATACTCCGTAATAAGTTACGCTAACAAAATAGAAGGCTTAGTTTGGCATTTCCACCATAGAGGGTTTCTTCGAATTTTTTGTGCTCATAAACTTGATAAGCATTTTTGAAACGGCGACTGGAGTTAATTCGCAATACCTTTGTAAATCATTACTTAATAAACAGGTTGGGTTTTTTTTTATAATTTACCAATATAGATCATTGTCGTTAAGCATTACATTCAAACTTGATAAAGCCTACCAACACATATTCTATTATTGAATCGATTACCTTAAGTCTTTCAATTGTAGTATGCATAATATGTGATTAATTTCAACTGAAACTACTCAGAATCAGATCATTCTTTTGTTTGGATAAAATCTTCCTGAAATTTGTCGTGCTTTGTGTGCATTCTCACGCAAGTGCCGCTCGGCTTTATTTGTAACAAGTGCTCTGGGAACGGAAATGTGCGATTTTTACTCCTCATTACAAGGGCAACAGCAATGGCTAATCAGTCCGTTTATGGAATCTAATCAAGTTTGCTTGACCAGATTTTACCTTGACAGTGAAGAATTATTCGTTTCTTTTGTTTCTTGTAGCAAAACAGGCTCATTA